CATTTGCTAGTGATATGATACTCAGTCCTGCAGTTTGATCCTGCACAGCATCTGCTTTGCAGCCGTCCTGTGAACAGAAGGGCCTCTCCCTGGCTGCAAGTGATGGGAGGAATACCACTGCTGACTGCAAACAGCTGAAAACGAGTGCAGTATATGCTGCTTCTCTCTCAAATCCACTCAGTGAACCTACAAACTCTTCCCAGCCATGGGGAAAACCTTCTCATTTTGCTGTCTATTATTAGAAATGGATGGGGCAGGCGAGGGTGGGAATGGGGCCTCATTTGGAAGGGGATAACTGTATGAGAGAACTTTTATAAAGCATTTAAACAAGCACTATTCTGAAGGGTTAGCACCAAAAATATACAAGATTGATTGTGATGAAACTGCTTGCAACACAAGGTTTCATGCAAGAAACATCTAAATTGTTTGATTATGAGTCAAACTGAATAATATACATGTAGGAACTGGGAAGATGGCAGAAAAGGAACAGGGAAGATGAAAAGCATGCATCTGTTCATTTAAAGTAATTTTAAAACAGTACTAAAGTTTAAGTTAGAAAAAGCAAGTATTAGCTAGATACGGTTGGGAATACTGTTCTTTATATTGTAATTAGGGATGGCAAAGGAACACATCTGAGTTATAGAAATTAAGTTTCATTATGATGTAAAACAAAATCAAGGCTTTTAAAATTCTGAGAAGCACAAGCGTGTGCTCACCATGGAGGGAACAATGCTGCCAAGAGTGCAGAATATATAGTAATTACAGGTATGGTCTGGGACTTGGGAACATTTCAGCATTCTAAAACAGATACCACATTTCCACATCCCAGTGTAATGACTGACATGCTAATGCTTCCCTCTCCTTGTCCTAAGAAAAATCCCAATGAAACTCATCAAAATCAGTCCATATATTCTTGTAAAACATTTTTGTTTGCAAGTGACATGACAATAACTCATTAGCAACTGGCAATTAGAAATTTGAAACTATTATGGTTCAACTGAAGGAAAAGAAACAGTAAGTCAGAAAAGACAAATGATTTTCCAGCAATTGTATGAGTCTTTCGTAATAAATCTAATAATACTGGGAAAGCAATCTGTGCTTTTTACTGCAGTGTCTTCCCTGTCAAGGATCACTTAAAGAATTACAAGATTTCCAAAAGTGGCATTGTTTTAAAATGTTACTGACTTCTTTGACAAGTTAAGTACACAGATGTAACTAGAAGAAAACCCAGAATATTGCAAACATCACGAAAGTAGCACTATTTCCCATTATTTTTCCTAAAATGGTACTGATAGATTGAAGTTCTCTAAATCAAGACTTACATCATACAGAAGTTAAATAATTTAAATAGCCACCTCCCCCCTCAGCTTATTAGTCATACCTTAATTTGTGCAAAAGGTCTGTCAAAGTTTCCAACATAAAGAAGACCAACATTCTGGGTGAGTAGCCTAAAAAAATGAAAAAAATCTTTTAAGATATCACTTTACATCCATAAGGTTTTTTTTGCATCTCCAATAGTTGTTACTGAACCCTAGCAGGGTAACAAACCTCGTTATGATGGCAAGAGCTACCTTTGCAAAGTTGATTACACAATTCTATTTGAACTACTACAAAAAAGGAAAGATGCGCAGTAAAGATGGATGCACACTGGTAATTTGTGTTTATGGTGCAAGCAGCTCTTCAACAAAATCATTTCACAGGCTTCTTTGTGATGGATGTCACTCAGTAACACAGAAGAACAGCAGGTACGTGCCTTTTCTATTTATTAGAGACCATTAGAGACAAAGGGACAGTAAGAGAAAAGACTAGTAAACACACATTCAGAGCAGCAGGCCTAAGAGTTAAAATTTTATTAGGGCAAATAAAAGTACGAACAGTAATACAAATACGACATCACTACAAGTAGAGAAATAATAGAGAGTGCCTGCAATATAGTCTAATGGCTTCCTAAATAAGAAGAGCCCCAGATGCAGTTTGTGCCTGCTGTTCTCTTCAACTCTTTATAAAGTCGTTGCGTACACCACCAAGATCCAGAGGGACAGTGAGATAAGTTCACTCAAATGACTGTTGGTACTTCTGGAAAAGAGTTAGTTTGATTTCTGCATATACCGTGCAAGCCAATGTTATTACTACACAAACTCCAAATCCCAGAGGAACATTAGGGTGCCACTGCTATCAACAAGCAGACAAGAACATCACTGGCCACTGGAAAGCTTAGGAGAGCACTGTGCTGTTCAAACTGGACAACCACAATGTTCCTCTTTGCTAAGCAAAGGCACAGTGGTCATCCCCTCCACTTCAGAGGCTCCAAAAGCGTTGCACTGAAGTACAGACAACCCATAAGGAGAACTCTTTGATGACAGACCACTGAAAGAATTTCTGTTTTGACTAAAAGGGATGTTCAAAACCCATCATACTCTTCAGTTGCTCCAAGTTTTCATAAAGTGTTTGCTATTTTGTGTTTTCCTTCCATTTTACATCCCATTCACATTAGCAATAAGTCCTCACATATGGATTAAATTTCCCCCCTAACCAGAAATAACCAGAAAGCAAGTACGAATGTAGGCATCATTCTGCTCAAGTCTGACACGGAGATGTCTCTTTCTTTATATACTTCTAATTCATAGTGAGTTATGTTTTTTTCTATAGATATAAACTGGTTGTCATTTTCTAACTAATATCTCACCACCTCCAGGCCTATTTTCATAAACAAAAGAAAACAAAAGCTTAGACAGCAGTAAATCATTGTTTTGTCCTTCAGTTCACACAATGTACACATCTTACCATGATTTTGATTATTCCCAATTCTGATAACAATATGATATATATGACCTTAAAGTGGTTCACCAACAGTGGGAATTGGTGGAACTTGGCAAAATGGCAAAGTTGAAGCATTCACGTATATAAAACAAAAGTAAGAAGTGGTGTCGAACTGTAGATCATCTTCAAAACTCCTTTTGTAATTAGATACTGCCTACCAAAATTTCCTGGGCATTGACAGAAATATGCAAAGGAAGGAAAGACCAGTAAGGATCAGAGCAGATCAGCCACAGTACGGACAGGCAAGTGGCTTCCTCCCTTTGCCCATCAGCGTGCCTGACTCTGTCGGGAAGACTGGTACTGTTTTGCAACGGTTCTGCAGTACTGACACAGGGAAGTGCTCAGGATGAGCACGTCAAACTCATTTTCAGTCACAATAAGTCAAATTCATTCAGAATGCAGGTCTTCAGAGCTGAAAAAGCCAGCATATTGATCAAGTCTTCTCTTAGGACTGTAAGGCAAATTCAGAAAATATTTATGGGTTTTCTAAATGAAAAGAAACATAAGGGAAGTAATTAGCGGAAAAGGTTAAACGAGAATCTGTAAAAAGGATTCAGGGTATGTCACCATATTTGAGACAGGGGCACCTTAAAGCAAAAAAAAATTGCACATAATTTTTGTAAGGCAGAAAAGAAGAACAAAAAAATCCACTATCTGTATTTCTAGTAAGGGACCTAAAAGAAGAGAAGACATACAGTGTGATTATTCCCACGTGGTTATTCTTCTTCACGTTGTTTTCTTTAACAGATAGAAATGTAGGACCATTAAAAATCTGAGTCTTTAGGATGGCTTTAGTTAGAACATCTAGGGAACCTTAAGATTAATCTTTCCAGAAGACCCCACAGCAGTTTACACTGTTTAACTTGCTATCACTGATGTGCACCCAAAACCTGCAAATGTACTGCAAGGATTGCCTTCCTTAACAGGACCAATACTGACACAGAAGTACCTATTTATTCACCTTTCACTGCCTTGGCTGAAAAGTATTTTACTTATAATTTTTTATTGGTATTCACAAGTCACTGCAAAAAGGCAATGTTAATTCAATGCAATGTTAGGAAAATTTTTAGGGAATGGCAAGTTATTTGTAACTCTCCCTTGCTTAAATAAAAGGTCACGTTCATTGTTTCTTTAGCTTTCAAGATTCCTCTCAAGTTCTGAAGTTCAAAAGTTCACCAACAGGCAAAGCCAGTCAGTTTTCCATATAAGCACTCAATGAGGTTGAAATGAGCATCCCAATATGATCATAATTTAATGTCCTGAAATACTTGGGTTTTCTTCCCCTAAATGGTCTGAAAAATTAAAAAAAATTCCAAATCTCATGACTAGTATAAACACTTTTACTTCAAGGTCTTTCCTGAGCTCTCTTTGAGAGCAGCCCTGTGGAGAAGGACTTGAGGGTGTTGGTGGATGAAAAACTGAATATGAGCCAGCAATGTGGGCTCGCAGCCCAGAAAGCCAACTGTATCCTGGGCTGCATCATAAGAAGTGTGGCCAGCAGGTCGAGGGAGGTGATTCTGCCCCTCTACTCTGCTCTCATGACACCCCACCTGGAGTACTGTGTCCAGCTCTGGGGCCCCCAGCACAAGAAAGACATGAGGAGGCCCACAAAGATGATCAGGGGGCTGGAGCATGTCTCGTACGAAGACAGGATGAGAGAGTTGGGGTTGTTTAGCCTAGAGAAGAGAAGGCTCCAGGGAGACCTTATAGTCGCCTTCCAGAACTTAAAGGAGGCCTACAAGAGAGATGGGGAGGAACTCTTTATCAGGGAGTGTAGTGATAGGATGAGGGGTAACCGTTTTAAACTGAAAGAGGATAGATTTAGATTGGATAGAAGAAATTCTTTACTGTGAGGGTGGTGAGGCACTGGAACAGGTTGCCCAGAGAAGCTGTGGATACCCCATCCTTGGAAATGTTCAAGGCCAGGTTGGACAGGGCTTTGAGCAACCTGGTCTAGTGGAAGGTGTCCCTGCCCATGGCAGGGGAGTTGGACTGGATGATCTTTACAGTCCCTTCCAACCCAAACTATTCTATGATTCTATGACATCAGCATAATGTCTGTATTTCAGAGACTGAGCTCACACAGAAGAGTCTGCAGAGGGAAGCAGACTGCAGCAAGAGTCACTGCTGAGACTCTGGATAGGCCAAGCTACTGCAAGAGTGTTACCGCTCCCTCAGTAGTCACCAGCGGCAGTATCAAAAAATGATGTGCCACCGAGGAGAGAGGTGAGATACAGGAGTATGTGCCAATCTCCATCTCACCCATAGGAACTCAGCATGACTGATCTCTAAATTACCATTAAGATGTACTCCTCACCCATCAGAAAGTTCAAATTATACCTAGTCATTGTTATAGTTCTTCTTTACCGCAACACCAGGCTGCAATTTTTAAGTACCTAAAATTAACTTTATACCATAAACTTCAACATGTCTAAATTGATGCAGATATTCTCTCCTAATGTTCTGAACTAATTACCCTTTGCCTTTGAAGACTTTCCAATGGTAGGCAGGCTTGGTTATGAGCATTTATATGGTTTCTTATTCCAATGCCCTCTTTTAAAATGTCAGTCTTCTATTTCTTACCTAATTTCACATTCGCACAGTTCTATTTTCAAAACACTGTCAGTGGTACTCAACACCTAACCCTGCTAACAGCTGGACATCACCTGTAATTGGCCAAAATCAATACCAGCCTATGAAACAGTGGTGACAGTTTCACAGCACAATTATCATCTTTGAATTTCACCTTCAAATAATTACCTTAAAATTATGAGAAACCATCGTCAAAAATGCAAATCCCTACTGGCACTTCAGTACATTTACTGGAAAATATGTAGCAATATACAAAGTTGCCTCAACTGATCCGTATTGGCTTACGGATTGATGTGTATTTTATTTGTAGTCTCTTCCATTCAATACATTTATCAACACAATTGCCATTTTTTCTGTAAGCAGAAGGAAAGAAACATCATTCCAAGAAGCAGTGGTTCTTTAAGACGTGCTGTCCATACATAACATTACACTCCCCCTACTCCTGTCCCATATACCCAAGCGAGCAGACTGCTAGTCCAACATGCCTATTTGGGCTGTATCGTTATGCTCCATGCAAACAGCATAAAAACCCAAAAAGTATCAGGATGAACCGTTTCTGACTTTTGCCATTACAATGTCAAGGTCTTAAAGGACTTTCCAGCACCAAGAAAATGCTGCCATATAGTTTACACCAAATGCCATATTTTCTGCCTTCAGAATCCTAGATTTGACCTTTTTTGTGATGCAAATCATACTTGTGTTTTCAAAATCCAAGTTGCAGGAGCCAGGCACTCCATGCCTCTGGAGGAAGCTGACTGAGGGCGTGGGCATGGTCAGGCACAGCAATCTGAGAAAAAGTAGTGGCAACAGTGATGTGAGGGGGATAAATGGAAATAAATATAGGGCAGGATTAAGGGCTTGGGTGAAACGAAACTTGGAATAAAGCAGAGAGATGGCAGGGAATGTGGAACACAAGAGGGAAGAGAGGTATAAAGGAGCGACAAAGCAGCCCTCTGCGTTGGAAAGCACTGGAGCAGAGCTCTGGCTGGAGAAGATGGGTGGATTAGGACTACAAGAGCAGCAAGGACCGATTTAC